AGGACATGTTCAAAAAATTCATTGCAACATTAATGGAAACAACCCATCCTTTCACTGGAGAGAAGACTGGATAGATGAATTGTGGCATAGTCACACAGTGGAATACCATATAGAAATGAAAAACCACCACTCCATGCAACAACACATCTAAGCCTTAGAAAAATCAAATTGAGTGAAAAAGAAGTTACAGAAAACCACATGAAAATAACATTTTGGCTAGGCACAGTGGTGCATGCCGATCTCAGCAACATGGGAGGCTGAGGCAGGAAGATAGCAAGTTTGAGGATGGCCTCAGCAACTTAGTGAGGCTCTAAATAACTTAATGAGACTTTGTCTCAAAACAATAAATAATAAAAGGACTGGGGATATTTCTCAGTGGTAAAGTGCCCCAGGGTTCAATCCTCAGTATCAAAATATTATTTTAAATTTAATATTGTTTGTATTAAAAATAATAATATTTTTATAAAAATTAGAGGTTGAGGGTGTAGCTCAGTGATAGAGTGCTTGATTGGTATGTGTAAAGCTCTGGATTTGATCCACTGCACTGTAAAATAAATTTAAAAAAATTAAAAAGTAAATCAAAACAATGTATTGTTCAGTGGTAATAACGTAAGTCATAACACTGTTTAAAACGAAAACAAAGGAATAAAATAATTCAAGATATGGAGATAGGATTGTTCTTAGGTTGGGCAGTGGAATTAAGTTGGACATTAAGTATCATAAAGTATGTGTTATATATAATTTTGTTTATCAAATATTATTTTTTAATTGGTAAAAAGGAAAGTGAAAAGAAATTTTGAGGAAGCCAGAATTTAAGGAAATGGGTTGCTTCAGCATCAGATCCTATGAAAATCCTCAGCAAGATCAGGCTTGTCTGGAAACCCTGGACTTGGTGACTGGGAGCACACTGATTACCTTTGGAAGCAGCCCTATTCAAATGGGGAGGGCTGATGCCAGATTAGAAGATGGAAAGAAATATGTTATGGAGGAAGTCAGGTTTGGGAACATTGACAAGTCTTTCATATACTACCATCTCCTCCCAAACCCACAACATTAGTGAATGTTTATTGAGGATATTATGTCAGGTACTTTGCATATACTACTGTCATTTTAATCCTTATAGCCACCTCTATGCGTTAGGCTAAAGGACCTAAAATCAAGGCTTTTGTTACCACCAGATATAGTCATCTTTGATCACATATATAGAATCTCTATGATACTAGAATAATAATATTTCATTATTTCATTCCAAACTCTTGTTACAAAGATTAAAATGACTAGGTAATGGCAACCAACCAAAAGGTGATGAATCAAGCCTACCCAGAAATGGGTTATATTTCTTCCTGAGATGCTATTGCTGTGACTTACCACGTTTACCAAGATCTATCCCTTTCAGGCACACAGAATTATACTTCTGTCTCAAAACCACGTGACTTGCTTTGGCCAATGAAAGATGTGATGTGTGATTCTCTAAGCTTTAGGAACTTGTGTGCATTAGACATGGTGGTACATGCCTGTAATCTGGGCTGCTAGGAGGCTGAGGCAAATGGATTCCAAATTCAAGGCCAGTCTGGACAATTTAGCAAGACATTGATTCAAAATTTAAAAAAATAAATAAAGGGCTGGGGGCATAGTTCAATGGTAGAGCACTTGTTTAGTGTGAGTCTCTGAGATTAAAATAAACAAAAAGTGCCAATGTGCATTTTAGTCATGTCCGTTCCCCTGAGTTGGTGATGGAGCTTCTATTAGTCTGCCTTCCCAAATGACTGGGGGTGGAGAAAGCTTCCCTGTTGATCAGTGTTGGGCATAAAATATGAGCAAGTATACCTTTGTTAATTTGAGATTTGGAGGCTATGACAGCAAAACCTAGCCTATCTTGCCTGATACATTTCCTTTTTCTAGACATAGAGATTGTGAATGTATAAGAATTGAATAATGAAGTGAAAATATACACAAAGTGCCTTGAACACTCTCTGGTACATGGTAAGCACTTAATAGATGCATTCATGTATATGCTACTAAACAACCAGAGACTTTACATTGTTTTAAAGCACAAATAAATACTAGTTGTAGAAAATGTAAATAGTCGGCAACATTCCTGGCTCACATTTTCTCTAGTGTTTGTGATCTTAGAAGAGATATTTTCATCCTTTGTCACTTCCTCTCTCATATCCATGTAAAAGCACTATATTTGGCTTTGCTTGGGTCATATAATCCTCCACCTTCATGATGGAGAAAAGTTGGGCAAGAATCATGAGCTCTAGAGGTACCAAGGTGTGCATTTTTGAGTAATTTACCAAAAATTTAACCCAGTGTTGTCACAGCCTACAAACTACTCTTAATGATGTAACAATTCTATCAGCATGAAAGTCCTTCTTCTTTTTTGGTACTGGGGATTGAACCCAGGGGTGCTTTACCATGGAGCTACATCCCCAGCCCTTTTTTTTTTTTTTGAGATAGCATCTCACTATGTTACTGAGGCTGGACTTGAATTTGTGATCCTTATGCCTTAGCTTTACAAGTCACTGGGCTATGGGCATGTGCTACCACACCTTGCATGAAGTTTTCAATGTTAATAAAGTCTATGAATTTTTCCTTTTGTGGATCATGGTGTTATATTTAAAAACTTATCATCAAGCTAAAGATCACATGGATTTTCTGTTATCTTCTAGATGCTTTATAATTTTTCATTGTTACAGTGTAACAACTGTTATCAGCAGAAAAGTCCTTCGTTGTTTTCTTCTTCTTCTTTTTTGGTACTGGGGATTGAACCCATGGGTGCTTTACCATGGAACTACATTCCCATTCCATTTTTTAATTTTCAGACGGAGTTTTGCTAAGTTGCAAATGATGGGCCCGAGTTAATATCTAATACTGTAGCCTCCCTTGTGGCTTGACCTTAGAGAAAGAAGGTTTTGGTAGTAATGGTTAAAAACATGCACCTCAAGATTACCAAAGAGGAATATTGAGCAGGCAGAAATGGATTATCTATTAAGACAAACAAACTTAGAACCCAGATTTGGGCATCACTGAATTTTTTTTTCATATGTAAAGTGCAGACAATACTTACTTTGCAGTGTTGTTTGAGGATTAGAAATGATGTTCAAGAGCCTAACACTGCTGGTCATGGTGGTGCACACATGACTGTAATTGTAGAGGCTCAGGAGGCTGAGGCAGGATCGCAAGTTCCAACCCAGCCTCAGCAATTTAGTGAGTCCTATCTCAAAATTAAAAAAATATAAAGGCCTGGGGATATATCTCAGTGGTTAAGTGCCCCTGGATTCAATCCCTGGTACCAAAAAACAAAACAAAATAACAAACAAACAAACAAAACCCAAACCAAAACCAAAAAAATAGACCCTCAATAAACTAACTTTCAAAAGCCAAATGCTAAGGATTTCCTACTATTGAATTCTGAGTCCCAACTCCCACCATAGATCCAAGGCTAGGAAAAGACATGTGTGAATCTAACTAAAACAAAGTATGTTATAAATAATAGAATTTTCATTTAAGGATGAAGTGTTTGCAAGCTTCAGTAGGCCTCGAATGCTCCCCTTCAGGCTCAGCTGTTTCCTTTTATAATTTTTATGTATAAGGCACAGAGTGATCAGTGAGGCCAAGCTCAGCTAGTGTCATTCATCATTCAGCAGAAGCTGTAAGGTAAGAAGAATGCCCTGGAGTCCTGGCTTCAGACTCTGCTCAAAGCATCCCTCTATTGCTCAAAGGTGACTCAGAGCTCCTTTTTCTCAGAGCCAATTTTAAAATACATCTAAATGAATACCATTCAGGAATGAACCTTCATACTCAATCTTCCTGTGTTCTTGCCACCAACATATCCTTTGCTTCAAAATGTCTACAATCCACTTTGTACCAAAGCACACTTTCAAATGTGTTTTGGCTGTCCTTGATTTAGTTATTGAATGCTTACTAAGTGCATGCTGTGCAGTAGGTGCCAAACTCACAGAAATAGTTAAGCATGGACACTGCTCTCACATTCCATCTGAGGAAGAGAGGCAGCAAAGTGCACAGAGGCTGGCTGTGATGAGTCTGTATAGGGATCCCAAGTTGGGGATCACGAAGAGTCAAAGACATGAGCTGAATCTTGGGGAATAAGTAGAGACTGCATCAGAAACAAAGGGAGAGAGGCATTCTACACAATGGTACAAGCAAATGAGAAGAAGCAGATATTAACAGCTTAATGTGTATGAGATGCACTTTATTATCACTGGGTGCAGTAGGGAAGGAAGGAAATGAGGCTAGAGAAGTGGTCAGAGGCCAGATAATGAAGGGACCATGGAAGTTGTTGAGCATGGTGTTAGAAAGACAGATTACTCTGGAAGCTGATAAGCATGGTGGATTAAAGCAATGGTGCTTAACTTTCTTTTGTCATAGATTCCTTTAAAAAAAAACTGAAAAAAAAGGTATAGGCCCTTTTAACCAGAAAAAAAGTACATTCACTCAGACACAAAATGTTGGTTACAACTGCCTGGTTAGGAGTAAGACAGGGGAGCAACTGGCATCAGTCCAGGTGAGACATGATAAGGCCTGAATCAGGCCACAGGAGCAGGGACAGGAAAGAGGAGAGAGATATGAGAAATAGAAAGATAGTTGAGTGTAATCAGCAAATCTTATTATCAATTAGATTTGAGAAATGAGGGAAAGGTATGACTCTAGGATGACTAACCCCAGGTCAGTTTGTGGCTCAGGCAATTGAGTAGATGGGAGTGTCACTCATGGAGAGGAGCAGACTTCAGAAGAAAGGACAGGTTCTGTTTGGGAAATGTCGAGTCAAAGGTGCCTGTAGAACATCCAAATAAAGAAGTTAACCATGAAGCTAAATATTCTCTTCCTTTTGATTATTCTTATATGGGATCTCTTAGCCCGATATTCTACAGACTCCACAATTTCTGTGCAACATTTCTGAATTGAGACAAGTATTTCCCCCTTTGTAGAAAGGGATCCAGAGATGGGAGAAGAAATCAAACTTCACACACCCAAAATTGTTCCACAATATTTTTACTAAAAGAATAGATTTTTATTAAGCGCTGTAAGTTTCTTTCCATCAGCATTAACAAAACAACAGACCAAATTCCATCACAGAACAACTCCTGAGACAGTCTCGTTCCTTTCTGAAACATTTCCATTAACTCCTGCAGTTTCCCCAAAGAAGCATCCATTCAAACTTACATTAATAAACTATGGAGCTTTTGTGGTGAGGTGGGCCAAAAAGGCAGGGAATTTGGAATCTGGGAGTGGGAAAGAGAAATACGTATTATCCATCCACTAAACACACTGTCAAGAGCACAGGAGAAGAGATAGTAACACAGGAAAAAACAATGAAAGAATTTCTTACTTTTGTCAATAACATCATTTATCAGGGAACACTAAAAAAATCACTGACTCCTTGCAGTTAAAGTTTCTTTACCTAGTGTGTTAGTCTAAAGATAGAATAGAATAAAATAAAAGGTAGGAGGGGAAGTGCCTTCTGGGAAGTAATTAAAATGAAGTCATCAGATTTGGCAGGGTTATGAGATTAATAAAATCTGAAATATTTAATTTGCTTCATTTACATGAAAATTCACTAGTCATTAGTTACTACCAACACGGACAAAAGAGCATCTATAAAAAGTACAGGGGGCAATATCAAAAGCTGAAATGGGCACCCTAGCACAGGGGATGTTTTATTTTGCTTTTAACTCGGAGAAGATAATTTTGTAAAAAAATGACATTATTTTCTTAGAACATCAAAATAACCTTGGACAATACTGAAGATAATTAACAGTAATAGGGGAATAGGTGCACTGAGCTCTCTACCTGCACCAGCAGACTACTGCAATAAGCCAAGGGAAATGAAAAGAGAAAGTCAAATAAGAAGATGCCAAAGTCACCAGAGGGAGAAAAATATAGGTGACACACAATGGAACAGTGACAATTTCCCCCCCACACCCTGAACCCCAAGCATATTTAGGAAATATGCATCAGGAAGTGAACAAGTATAATGATTAAACCTTAGTAGAATTATACTAACTACTTTAAACTGTGGTCTACTTGTATTGTCATTTCAAAGGAGTGGGGGGCTTAGAGGCTGACATGGTGGCACTGACATGCCCACAGGAGCCTTCTAAGGTTCCAAAGGACTGAATCACCATAACCAAACAGCTACTCCCATATTCTTTCTACCCTACATAAGCATTCCTGCCCCCCCACCCCACCTTAACCACCCTCCCTTAATGTCTTGTCTGGCTTTCCCAGTGATCAAAAAAGGTTATTGTGACTTGGCTAACAATGTCAGAAAATCAAGATGGAGACAAAAATCAAATGTCCCTAGCCAAAGCAAGTACCACTTCTTGGGCTTTAGACTACCCAATGTCCTACTGGCTCAGAATGAAAATGATGCAAATGTGCAGAAGTTTGTCAGGCCTGGTCCAGACCAGACTGGCCACTAAAAATGGGTAAGATTTATAGACTGATCCCAAGACACACCAGCAGAAATCAAGGACTACAAGTCCTTGGGGATCAGTGGCTTTACACCACCAGGGTGTTTTTGCTCGTGGTCCTACAAGGTAAGTGGGTCATTTCTGAGAGTTCCAACATGACTCTGTTCAAGAGAGACCACATCACAGTTAGAAAAGGAACCTCAAGTGAAGGATGATAGTCTCTCCAAGATCAGACCCTACCATCCCCAATTTGTCCTCCAATTAGAAAAAGTTCAACTCCCAGCAATGAACCTTAGTTTTTCTGGCTTTGAAGTTGTGCATTTTGGCAGATAAATGAAAATCTAGGCATATGGCCCTTTATTTTCTTTCTTGTAATCTTCTAACTCAAAATGCTGAATTCAAATAAAAGTCACGGTTGCAGGTAAACCACTTGTTTCACCCTGGGCCAGGCTGGAGGATAGTAGAGGTGTGTGGAAGGGAGAAAAGCAAGCCTTTTGGCAAACTGGAATCATCTTTGTCAAAGCAGCAATTTTGCCTCTCACAGTGAATGCCTACAAAATAAGAAGTCTTCTTAATGCTGTGAGAGTTAACAATACTGTCATCTGATTGTGTCAGATAAGATTCAAGATGCACAGAACAGCAACTGAAAAGATACCTTACATTTAACTCCAAGTACTTCCTATTATAAAATGAATATATTATATGTATATATATGCATATACATATACACACACACACACACATATATATATATATATATATATATATATATATATATATATATTCATTCACTTACAGCTCAGTGATTCTGATTACTTTTAGAGCTCCAAAGGATTCATCCCTCCGTGGCTCAGAAAGAAAATTCCAAGCCACCTAAATTTACTACAAATTCCCTCCCTTGCTGGATACAGAAGTCCTAACCTTCAAGATGTTGGCAAAAGGTTGGGATGGTCCAAGAGAAGTAGGGGTACTAAATCAGGGGAGCTAATTCCAAAGAGGTTTTGGTACACTTTGTTACTGCTTATATCTGGCAAGGTGTACACTCTTGTCATCCTTCTTTGGTTTATGTAAGAAGTATCTGGGCAGGGGACAAGGCACTCCAGGGCTCCTTCCCTCTGCAATTTGTGGCTTCTAGTAAACTGGGCCAGACTAGGATTAAACAGTCTGAGACTGTTTTCAATTTCTCATATTGTCATTGTAAGTGGGCAATTAGCAGCCTTCTGGTCTGAAAAAATAAAATCACCAAGGACCTGCTGTGGGTTAAGGTGCATGGGTTTTGTTTTGTTTTTTTTCAAAAAGAGAGAACCCTGCTAGAAGTCTATAGTCAGTTATAGTCTAGTAGAAATGGTACTTCTTGGGCAAGAATATCATAAAGCCCAAAAGGAGGTGTGTGAGGCTGGAAGCCTCAATTCCTGAATGAAGATACGATGCTAATTTGTTATAAGCCATGTTTCCACCCCTCATATTTTGGCTGTCCAAGGAGGGAAACTGGAAATGTAAAGTTGTCTCAAGATTATCTCCAGCAAGGAGGAACAGCCTCTTTATCCTGGGCAGATCCTAGCCACATGGGGGGCTAAGAATCTTTTACAGAATGCTTCCCAAGGCCCAGGACAGAGTCCTCTGAAGTCTTCCTTGCAAAGGAAATGAAAAGATCCGGTAGTCAAAATGTCAATGAACAAATGAAACAATCTAGGCATGTAAAATCAAATTGTCAAATTTCCTCACACTTCCCTACCCCATCTTTCCAATGTTAGTCTTCCCTCCTTCAGGGATTTCAGGTCTATCTATTCTCACCTGAAGCCAATTTGATGTTGGAGTTTCAGAAGAGATTTGCTTCAAATTGGCTGAAAGCACTTTCGAATGGTAATTACCTCCCATCCTCCTTTTCTCTCTAAACCTTCTTAAAGAAACACCCAACTCTTCCCAATCCCATTCCAACCTCCTGTTTTCACCATATGGGATGTGAGGGCTCTGTTCAAGATTAAGCTTGTAACAACCCAAGTGTTGTTCTGAACAGGCAATCTCTGGAGAGTACTTTGTGTCTGATTTAGAGTAGCCCATCTTCTCATAATTGCAATGGGCTGTGACTTAGTAAGGATTTTAGATTTAAAGTGTGATCTTTTGAAACCCACCACTCCATAGCAGTGGAAGCATTTCTGGGAAATTCAGTAAATCTTCTGGGACATCACCATGTATGTATGTATGTGTATGCATACACATATACACACACACACACTTATATATATATATATATATATATAAAATATGTATAGATAAATAGATCTGTCTCTTTATATAAAGGGTATGTGTATGCATATAGATACACGCATTCATATATACACCCACCCACACACCCATACACACACATACACACACACATACACACAGAGTCTTTTGAGTCCCTTTCGTACTCAGTTTCATAACATTGATTCCCACCCTTTCAGGGTGTGGGCAGCAGAGAGTGGGTGAACTGCACCACATCTTCTATTTTACAAACAATGCACTGGTTGAGAGGCAGGAAAAATCTGCCCAGTACTTTTCCGACTCACTTGAATCTCCCAGTACAAAGGCCATTGGTAGTTTTTTTAAGTGTATAAAATAAAAAATAAAATAAAATAAGATAAAATAAAATAACCAATACTACTCACTTCCCTGAAAACATCTACCTATCTGATTGTCAGGCCAGAGCTAGAGGTGGTATACAAAAATCCTGGGGTATGTGAGGTGGGAGAAAGAGTGAGGAGGAAGTGGATACAGATTATATATCAAGGTCAGCCCCTTCATTTCATAGAGGAAAAATAGTGAGCAAGCCATAGACAGCTGTTCCCTTGACCCCACAGGTTTATCACGTAAGTCTGCAAATGAATGCCATGATAGATACTCAGAAAACCAAAGCTGGAACTTTTATATAGGACTTTACATGATAACACCTGCTTTCTGACAGTTACTGTCTTACTAGCCTCCCAGAGGAGATAAAGAGAATATTGGTACTATTATATTAAATTTGAGAATTGAAACTAGTTTTGTTGCTATTCACCTTTAACCAGAAATTCCCTGGGTCCTAGGTTGGGGGACCCAGAATAAGATAGAGAAGGGGAACAGATGAATTCAATAGGATATCTTATCAAAATCCTGGATAAATCTAGGGCAAGCATTTATAGCCTCCTCTAACTTGGGCCTAGAATCAGAAAAGTATAGTTTTCCCCTCTTCCTGTCTGGTGAAGCCATCTTCAGCTTGTCATTCCTCTTTCCGTTGTGCCACAGTTTCTAGTTTTTGCTCTTGTAAGCGGTTCTTCTCCCCATTCTTCACAGGGAGGCAGCGGTTACCATTATTACACACGTTGCTGTCTCTGGATAAGGCACATTGTGATGGAGCTGGAAGACGATGATCACTCTTCTCTTCCTTGATCAATGTGCCATTGTTTCCGTTTACCTGTGAGCGGGACCGCCCTTGACGAAGCTCCAGGGATTTAGAAATTCCATCTGAAGAGCCCTGTCAAAAACAGAGATAGATGCTCAGTGGAAATGTTAATCTCAAACTGGCTAGCCATTCCCAAACATGTTCATAAACAAACCTGAGGAAGTTGGTTCAGTTCTTTAAAAATACAACACAGATTAAAGCTTGACACTGGATATCAATACTATCAGGATAGTATTCTGATACTTGCCTGAGAATTTAGGGTAAAACAGATTGATCTGACTAAAATCTGATGGCAATGATAACACAATAATGACACAGGTACTGCTTACCAAACTTTACGATATATATTTTTTTCTTCTTTTTTTTTTCCTAGTACTGGGGATTGAACTCAGGGGCACTTTAAACACTGAACCATATCCTCAGCCCTTTAATTTTTTTTTTTTTATTTAGAGACAGGGTCTTATACAGGGCTTTACTGAGTTGCCAAGGCTGGGTTTGAACTTGCAATCCTCCTACCTCAGCCTCCTGAGCTGCTGGGTTTACAGGTGTGAGCCAATACCCCTGGCATGTTTTATTTTTTTAATACTTATAGTGATCTAAATGGTAGATATTATGATGTCCCATTTATAAACAAAGAAGCTGAGTCTCAGGAAGATGAAAGTAAGTTGCTTAAGATAGAAAGTGGTTGGACCAGAATTCCTCTTCATTTGTGTCAGCCTCTAGTCTCTCAACTTCCATGCAAAATAGTCTAATGCTGTGATTGGTTGTATAAATAAAAGGAAAAGAAAAAAATGGATTTATGTGTAATATTCCACAGAATCTTATTTTTTTATTTTAATTTTTGTTGTGGTAAAAATATAACATAAAATTTACCATTTTAACTACCAGAGGATCTTTTTAAAATTTTTATTTATTTTATCTAATTACAAATTATACATATTTAATGAGACAGTGTGATATTTCAACAAATGCTTACAGTATGCACTGATCAAATCAGTGTAATCAGCATTTCCCTCTCTTTTTAAATTTTTATTGGTTCTTCTTATAACTAAAAATAATCACTTATTTTTCTTTTAATCCCAAGAATGTTAACTGCTATTGCAAATGACATTAACTGCATTACCTTGCGGGCTAGTGCTGATTCTTGATGAATGTTAGTAGGAATAACAGTAGTTTCTGATTACCATGTGGTTGGACGTGCTATACAGTTTCCTGTTCATTTTCTAGATAAGACAATAGAGTCTCTCCCCCACAAAAAACAATAAAATGACTTGCTTAAGATCACTGGTATGCCTAGATTTGTATCCAAGCCTGTTTGAGCCCAGAGGCCTTGTTCTTTCCAATAAGGTACAATACATAATGGAAAGCTAATACCTGTTGAATTTGTGGTTGATTATAAATAAAACCTACTAATTTTCATTGAGCACTTCCCATGTTCCAGGCTCTGTGCTACACACCTTACATATGTCATCTCATTTAATCCTCACAACCCTGCAAGGTAGATAATATTTTCTCTATTATATTCATGAGGAAACTAGGGCATGAGGTTAAGTAACTTGCTCAAGGCCACAGAACCGGTAAATTGCAAAGCCTGATGCAAAGCTAAATCCTTGGGCTTAAAGGTCTATACAACATGGAGGCTACTAAGAAGTGTTGCTCAAGAAAATGGAAATAAGATGAAACTAGTAAAATCCACACAAAGGATGGAGTGAGCCATCTGAGGGAGTCCACAAAGAAATAAAAACATTAGAAACAAGTGGCTTAATAACTTGAGAACATACAAAACAATGATGATCTCAGAAGAGAGGACTATAGAATAAGATTTAGTAGGCTAGAATAATTAATTATCTCATGCCCTGGAGAAAGTGTGACTGCATAAAAGGCGAGTCAGCAAGGTAGCAGCAGCTCCGTCTAGTGAAGATGCCTTAGCTAAAAACAAGGTCAACACAAGGATTTCCCTCTAGAATAGAAGGAATCATATCTACAAGAAACTTAAGATCCCTGCCATCCCTTGTTTTCTGTCACTTTCTTCATCTGTAAAATAGAGACTAATAGTATATACTTCATAGGTTCCTGTAAGGATTCAATGAGACACTCCATGTAAAGCATTTAGAACATGTTGTGTCTTGCACAACTCAAATGGTAACTAACATCAGTAATGGTTAAGGATATGTGCACTACAGTCAGCCAGACCTGGGTCTGACTTTTGTCTTTAACAATGAGTCATTATGCTGTGTTGGCATCAATTCAGGACAGGGCTCTGGAATCAGTTAGCTCAGACAGGAATGTTATCTCTGATAATTGACTTGATGGATAAGTTGTGGCAAGGTCCTTCATTTTTCTGGGCCTCTGTTTCATCTTATTTTAAATGGGGAGTAATAAGTACCTTACAGGGTATTCATGTGGCTTTGATGAGCTCATACATTTTTTAAAACTTTTTTTTTAGTTGTAGATGGACACGATATCTTTGTTTTATTTATTTATTTTTATGTGGTGCCGAGGATGGAACCCAGTGCCTCACGCATATAAGGCAAGCACTCAACTACTGAGCTACAACCCCAGCCAGAGCTCATACATTTTTAAGAGTGACTCCAAAAGAGCATGTGTGCAATACATTGTAATAATAATTTCTTATCATAAATCAGTACTTACTAGTACTTATCTCTTAATTCCTTCCTTTTCCCCTACTGCCCAGTCATAACGTAAGTGGTATTGACACTTTTGTGATCCTGGATGGTATGAGTCAACCACAGAGAAATTGATCTACTCCTTTTGTGCTAAAATTAGAAGATTTTTTTCAGATTTTACAGCTGAGGATCAAATCCTGAATCATGGTGAATTCACCAAAACTGTGTCTTCTTGTGGAAACCTATGTGGCTGACTAATTTTCCATCTAGCTGCAATCCTTTTTACCTTAGTGAGCAGTTTCTGGAAAAAGGTGAGCAGCTTTAAAAAACTCCCAAAATAGTGGAGCTGAGGATGTAGATCACTGGTACAATACTTTCTCCCAAAATCACTGCTCTCTAACTTTGGGTGCATTATAAAATGCTTTGTGTGATATTCCAGCTTCAATTTTTGCTTAAAATAACATTAAAGAAAATTTTTATTCTTTGAGGAAACATTAGATGTTGGGGATTAACCTGGATGCAGTGAGGGTGGATGGTATATAGGAGAGTAGATTTACTATTGAGAAGTGATGACAAAATTGCTTAGGATTAGAGACTGCATTTAAAATGTATGGGGCTTGGTGGAGAGCAGGCCCTCAAGAGTTTTTTTTTTTTTTTGTAATACTATGAGAAGCCTAGCAGTTTTGAGTTCAGTACCAGATTTTTATTTTGTAATTCTGAGAATTGAACTCAGTTGTGCAAGTGCTAGGCAAGTGCTCTATCACTGAGCTGCACGCACAGCCCCTATATGAGACTTTAGATCAGTACAGGAATAGTTTCGCATAGTCTATATTTTGAGGTGGGGGGGAATGTCTAATAAGGATCAGTGGGAACTATGATATAGTTCAAGGCATAGATTGGACGAAAGTTTAAGACCTTTCTGAGTCATTAATAATAAGCAGAACTACACATACATTTCTCAAAAGAAGAAATACAAATTGCCAACAAATACATGAAAAAATGAATCAACATCCCTAGCAATCAGGGAAATGTAAATCAAAACTACACCTAGATTTTATCTCACTCTAGTTATAACAGCAATAATAATCAAGAATACAAATAATAGGGCTGGGGCTGTAGCTTAGTGGCAAGAGCACTTGCCTAACATGTATGAGACACTGGTTTGGATCCCTAGCACCTCATTAAAAAAAAGAACACAAATAATAATAAATGCTGGTGAGGATATAGGGGAAAAGTTATACTCACACCTTGTTGGTGGGACTATAAACTAGTATAACCAATTTGGAAATCAGTATGGAGATTCCTCAAAAGACTAGAAATGGAACCACCATGTAACCCAGCTATCTCATTCCTTGGTATTTATTCAAAAGAAGTAAAATTAGCATACTATAAGAATACAGGCATCTCAATGTTTTTAGCAGTACAATTCACAATAGCCAAGTTATGGAACCAGCCCACATGACTACCAACAGAGGAATGAATAAAGAACATGTGATATGTATGCACAATGGAGTTTTACTCAGCCATAAAGAGTGAAATTATTTCACTAGCCAGTTAATGGATGGAATCATAAAGCTAAATGAAAAACATGAGACCCAGAATGTCAAGAGTTGAATGTTTTCTCTCTTACATGGAATCTACAGGAAAATATGGATAAAAAGGGGGTATCCTATGAAAATAGATGGAAGATTAGTAGAGTAGAGGAAGAGAATTTAGGAGGAAGAGGGAGGGACAGGAAATAGAGGAACTGTGGAATGGATTGACCAAATTATGTACATATATAAATACACCACAGTGAAAGTATATGTGTGTGTGTGTATGTGTATGTGTGTGTATCCAATTAAAAAAATCAACAAATAAATAGAAGGAATACCAGTAGAATAGAAGAAGGGGAACAGGGGGAGAGATGAGAGGAGGGAAGGGGGAAGTACTGGGGACTGAAATGGAGCAAATAATATTCTACGCATGTATGATTATGTCAAAATGGACCCACTATTATGTATAACTATAATGCACTAATAAAAACATTTTAAAAACAAGCAGAATGTTAATGCCCCCCTCCCTTTTCCACATTCAGCAAAGTGCAAAACACTGTTCAAACATTTCTGGTGGCCCCTTAGAAGCTTAGGCAGACTGTAGGCAACTACACTGTTCATTACACTCTGGTACCTTTCTGTATCTATGTAGAAAATACTATGTTAGACACAGGTCTTTAGGACACATTTGAATCTGCCTTGTGGCCTCATTCAGGGTTAAGGATGTGCCTCTGCAGCCCTGCAGGAAGAGTTCTAGGCAGGCTAACCCTCACTAGACTTTTAGAGAGGAGGGGAATGGAATCAAATGCCTGGAGAAGATATGACAACTTCCTTCCCCGAGTAGCTCAGGTTTCCATGTCTGTGATGTCTGGCAACTCAGTTAAAACAGAAGATTATCAAACAGAAAATAAAGAGTCTCGACAAAAGGTACTTACTTGTTTATTTCCTTTTTTGTGTCCTTTGGATCCTCTACCAGTCTGCTCTTTTCCATGCCTTTAGCAAGTGGGAGAAAAAATGATCATGAGAAACACAAAGCCCACATCCATATCATTTTCACTTGGTTAGCTGCTCATCTCCTCTAGGAAGTTTGACACAGCTTAGTTAGATGCCCCTCCTCAGTTACTATTATAAACCTATGTTTCTGTCCTTTTCATATTATATTACCATATAGTACATATACTGTATTATACTGTTCCACTTTCTCTAGTACAAAACTTTTTTTCATCAAGGCAGAATATTTAGTATATGTTTGCTGAACTAAACAGAAAATTGGCTTTAAATATGGATAGTTGGTTAATGCCTCTTACCATAATAGAAGGATTCAATAGCTGGTCATTTCCCAAGGGCACCTTGATTGACACTAGCTCATACCAACCCATTTGAATACATACCCCTTTCCTGGCCCACCGACAGAAACCACTTGCATGCCAAAGGATCCTCGGCCTCTGGAGGATCTGCTGCCAGCCCACTGGCCCACCACCATACCAGCAATCTCCAGTTTTCCTCCTTGGGGTGGGATTGGATGGAGACCTGGCAAGAGAGGAGGAACAGCAGCAAAGAATGCTTAGTGCAAGGTCCTACAAAAGGTCCTACAATCTTATCTCCATTTCTCTCTGATAAGAAGACTATGCAAATAACATGGAGTCATGATGGAAGCAAATACAGGGGGAGGTGGTAAAAGATCTGTATATGTATGTGTGTGTGTATATATATATATATATATATATATATATATATATATATATCCATTTTAATAACAGGTATGAGTGATTTCATTTTTGACTATAGAGCCCAGCAGTAAGAATTCAATATCTGTTGAATATTGAGGTCAGAATTCAATATCTGTTGGAATAATATCTTAAAATATAGTTACTAGAAAATTATAGGTTAAACCCACTCTTGATACAGATATGTATCACTACCCACTATACGATTAGCCAGACAACCAAACTAAACAGGAAAAAAAAAGAAGCTAGAATAACAGCAATTTATAATTAAAAAGCAAGAAAAGTAATAATTGAAACTCAGGACCATTCAAGACAGGATGGTAATATAGTTATTTAAGACAGAGGAAATTCCAACTCTGTGTATGTAAACCCACAAGCATAGCTGAGGTTTGTAATATGGCCATCAAAGAATATGTATAGAGTTCTAATAGGCATTTTAGTTTATGGGAAAAAAAAAAACCCAAAGGTAATAACCCTTAACTCATTAATCAAGTAGTTAGCGAAGAGCTCTTTGTTTGTATAAAAGTGAGAATCCCAGGAGGTAGGAACTATACTCTTAAAAGGGGCAAGGAAAATTTATATTTCTACTGTGTCCTTTTGGGAGGAAGGAGGCTACCATGGACCACCACTACCTGGAGACTATAGTATTACTGGTAGCTGGGACAATGGTGACAACCTCCTGAGAAGTTGGCCATAATTAAGATGACTTCTGAGACTTACAGAATAAAGACAACACACAAAGAATCAAAGAAGAGCTGGGTGTGGTGGCATGTGCCTCTAATCTCAGCTACTTGGAGGTTGAGGAAGGAGGATCATAAGTTCCAGGCCAGACTCAGCAAGTTAGACCCTGTCTCAAAAACAAAACAAAACAAACAAACAAAAAGGCTGGGGATATAGGTCATTGGTAGAGCACTTGCCTGTCATGTGCAAGGCCCTGGATTCACTCCCTGGTAACATAAAACAAAATGAAATAAAAACAAATAATCAGAGGAGAGATCTGTAGAACCACTTTAAAGTAATGAAATAGCTAGTTTCCTGGATTTTAAGATTTGATTATTACCCAACTGAAGAAGAGCTGACTTTCACACTGCTCATCTAGCCCAGCTTTGAACTAAACATCCATACTGAATTTTGTGATTCCCCAAAAGATCATTTTTAAGAGAGGAGCAATGAACAACACACACATTCAACATAGCAATGACACTCTCACATGATCACAGACTCGTGCTATTTCATGTTAAAAGGTTCCCATTAAAATATCCTGTTTCACCAGGAGACAGGTTGCTTAAAATATCAGGTTGCTCAACAAGTGCTGGCAAGGATGTGGGGAAAAGGGTACACTTGTACATTGCTGGTGGGACTGCAAATTGGTGCAGCCAATTTGGAAAGCAGTATGGAGATTTCTTGGAAAGCTGGGAATGGAGCCACCATTTGACCCAGCTATTCCCCTTCTCGGTCTATTCCCTAAAGACCTAAAAAGAGCATGCTACAGGGACACTGCTACATCGATGTTCATAGCAGCACAATTCACAATAGCAAGACTGTGGAACCAACCTAGATGCCCTTCAATAGATGAATGGATAAAAAAAATGTGGCATTTATACACAATGGAGTATTACTCTGCATTAAAAAAATGACAAAATCATAGAATTTACAGGGAAATGGATGGCATTAGAGCAGATTATGCTAAGTGAAGCTAGCCAATCCCTAAAAAACAAATGCCAAATGTCTTCTTTGATATAAGGAGAGTAACTAAGAACAGAGTAGGGTCGAAGAGCATGAGAAGAAGATTAACATTAAACAGGGATGAGAGGTGGGAGGGAAAGGGAGAGAGAAGGGAAATTGCATGGAAATGGAAGGAGACCCTCAGAGTTATACAAAAGTACATACAAGAGGAAGTGAGGGGAAAGGGAAAAACAATACAAGGGGGACAAATGAATGTCAGTAGAGGGGGCAGAGAGAGAAGAGGGGAGGGGAGGGGAGGGGAGGGGGGATAGTAGAGGAAAAGAAAGGCAGCAGAACACAACAGACACTAGTATGGCAATATGTAAATCAATGGATGTGTAACTGATGTGATTCTGCAATCTGTATATGGGGTAAAAATTGGAGCTCATAACCCACTTGAATCAAAGTGTGAAATATGATATATCAAGAACTATGTAATGTTTTGAACAACCAACAATAAAAAATTAAAAAAAAAAAGAAAACAAACAAAAAAAATATCAGGTTGCTTAAAATATTAGGGCTACCTAAGCATGCTTGTTGATTTCTTGTTAAGGAGCAGCTCAAATGTCACCATAATTTATACATATATGTATATGTTTACATGTATATGTGTGTATTTGTATGTATATTTGTGCATTTATTTCCCCTACTAACCTGTAATCCTTTGGAAGGCATGAACAATGACATTTACATTTATCTCTATGCTTCTGGAGCAGAAGGAAGGGAAATGTGTCAGGTCAACCCCCAGAGTAGAAATGGCTATATCAAATAATTTATTCCCATTGGTCATTTATTCCTACTGCTCTTCCTGCAAGCTTCTGTGCAAACATACAGATCCACTTCATATGAATTGTAGTTCTCAAAATAAAAAAGTCAATCCTGGTTTTTCTGTCAGTCACTTTGCGAGTTTGGTTGGTTAAAGTCAAATTCCTGGGGACCAACTACCTCTATGGAGAGAGGTCTGGGAATTCATAGGACTTTCTTTCCTGGTCTGCATCCCTCCATCTCAAATAGGATGCTCCTCAAACTACCATAACAGAGCACAGAATGTAAATGAAGTATGATATATATGAAACTGGTAATTCTGTAATAGCAATGAGTACTGGTTGGTTATTATGAAATGAATTGGATGGTAAATACCTCATTCTGACATACTGACCTGCAAACCCTCGGCTCCTTCCTTGAGGGGGAGGTGGCATTGAACCCATGGCTCGGGAATAAAGTGAAACAGGGTACAGAGAGGGCACCATAGGAGGCACAAAAGTAGGTGATGGAAGTAGAGCAGAAGGTGGTGGATGATTCATGTTGACTCCTTCAAGGATACTCTGTCTCATCTTTTCCACTTTGGTTGCCAGGTCAGCCTTCAAATAAGGAGAAAATAGTAATAGCAGCTGCCATCTTTTAAACTTCTCCTATGTTTCAGGCTCAGTTATTGAGCACTTTAGGTATGGCCTCACAATTCTATTCCCATTAAGGGAATTGACGTCTGGAGTTAAATGGCTTCAGGCCACACACTCAAGAAGCCCATCTAACACCAAAGCCCTCACTCTTCTCATGAAACCACACTACCAATCATATTAGTATTGACTGAGGGTTTGTGAGGCACATTAACTAGACCAATGAAAACAAATATAACAATAAGAATTTACTGATGGTCTCTTACATGGCCAGCAATAGGATAGATAATTTATTTTTATCTTATTTTCTTTCTTTTGTTCTTTTGAAATGTTGGGGATTGAACATAAGTCCTTGTGCAGGTAGGTTAGGTCATTTTTTAAGGGACAGGTAACAGAATTAGGTAAAAGAGAAAAGAACAAAAACCCGATATATAGGAAGCCTTAATTTCAACTTTCTCCCCTATCTGCAGGATTGGAGACCCTAAGTTCTGCTTAGGCTCAAACTTCTTCTGGAATGGGTAGAATAGTAAATATATTAGGTTTTGTGTGTCACACTGTGTCTGCCACAATTACTCCACTCTGCCACTGTTGCATGAAAGCAGAGGTGATATGCAAACAAATGAATGTGGCTGTGTTCCAATAAAATTTTATTTACAAAAACAGGGGATGGACTGTCTTGCAGAAAACAGGAGGCAGACTGAGTAGCTTGCTGACCCCTGCTCTAAAATCTCAGCTAATTCCCTCCAAATGGATGAAAGAGTGAGTAATCTTTCCACTCCCTTGTCTTTTCTCACTTTTTCCAAAGTTTGGCTGTAAAAATTCTTCCACTTCTACCCTTTCATCTGCTTTACCTATTTCTAAACAGTTTCATTACCAAAAAAAGATCATCACATGCAAAAGTGACTTACAGTTTTTATAAATAAGGGAAATGAAATCCTAAGAGTTAGAGAAAAAGCATATACTATGACTGAGTATTCCATGGGGAAGAAATATGAAAAAGGACATGATTACTTCAAGCTCATACAAAAACTTTCAACAAGCTGGGATGGTGGTGCACACCTGTAATCCCAGTGGCTCAGGAGGCTGAAGCAGAAGGATCACAAGTTCAAAGCCAGCCTTAGCAATTTAGCAAGGCCCTAAGCAACTTAGCAAGACCCTGTCTCAAAATAAAACATTAAAAAAACTTTCAACATATGATTTTATAACATGTACATTACAAGATTATACTTGGGGTTTGGGGCCATGTTGGTTCAATTAGGTTAAGGTTAGAAACACTTTTCCCACTTCTGCTCCCTCCCTCTCCAATGTTTCAGCAATTTTTCTTCTCCCTGCCCATTCATTCATTCCCGTTCAGCAGATTAGAGATGGCACTCAGCAACTGCCCAATGTGCTGGTACCTGGCCATCGCAGAGTTCAACCAGGGATACTCGTTCTCGGCCTGCTTTAATGAGCTTGCTCTGGAACAGCTTGCCATCAAAGTAAATCCAGGGGCAGCAATGCTCCCAAGGGACTGGCTGGCCACAGGCATCATTTGCAAAGAGAGCTGTGTCAACCCCACTCATGAAGAGGGCAGCAAGCTGAATCCCTCGGGCATCCAATTTCTCAATCTGAAACAACCATAGAGGAGAAATTAGTATTAAAAAACTAGGGTTGAGGGCTGGCTCAGCAGTAGAGTGCTTGCCTAGAACGTGCTGGGCCCTGGGTTCGATCTTCAGCACCACATAAAAATAAATAAAAAATTAAAGGTATTATGTCCAACTACAACTAAAAAATTAAAAAAAAATAAAAACACCCAAACTAGGGTTGAGCATCCCTAATCTGAAAATCTGAAATCTAAACTGCTTCAAAATATGATACTTTTTGAGCACAGACATGATCCCACAGGTGAAAACAACCACACCTGGCCTCACATGACAGGTCACAGTCAAAATGCAGTTACCCTAAAAATATCATAGAAAATTACCTCCAGGCTATGTGTATGAGCATATACAACACAAGTGCATTTCATGTTTAGACTTGGATCTTAGCTCCAAGATATCTTATTAGGTATATGTAATACTTAAAAATCCAAACAAAATCTGAAATCCAAAACAAATCTGGCCCCAAGCATTGCTGATAAGGGATATTCAACGTGTACTGTTACTGATAACATTTATTCTTATTCCTGACAAAGTAGTTCTTTCTTTTTATTTTTTTCAGTGCTGGGGATTGAACCCAGAGCCTTGCACATGCTAAGAAAGTGCTCTACCACTGAGCCACACCCCGGCCCTTCTGTCATGCTAATTCTTGCAGTTAAATTTGAACATGTGCTTTTTAATACAGACCTTTGAATGCACAATTAGCTTTAATCTATGTTTTTCCCTGAGATGACTTGAAAGTTACTCATAAGGTTAGAGGATATCAACTTTAAGAATCTATTCTAAGAAGTAGAGATGTGAATAAAATTTTATCCATAAAGATGCTAATTATAACATTACACATAACAGGGGAAAACTATAAACATTATAATAATTAAATGATACATCCATATGATAAAATATTTACTAAAATTTATAACCTATAGAAAATATATGTTATATTGTGGGAAAAAAACACAATATAGTCATCACTTGGTATCACTGGGGATTGGTTCCCAACAAGCATAATGAAATTCATATATATTCAAGTCCCTTTTGTATTTGCATAACCTACACATATCCTCCTATATACTTTATAGCATATAGATTATGTATAATTCCTAATATTCAATGTAGATGAAATGTAAATAGCTGTTATAGTGTATTATTTAGGGAATAATGACAAGAAATAAAGTTTACACATCTAGTATTAATGCAACTTTAAAAAAATATTATACATCTGTGGTTGGTTCAATCTGCATACACAGAAACTGTGGCTATAACTACTTAAGAAACATCAATATGCATGACAAAAGTCTGAAAGAGTCAATCCTCAGCATAACACACACAAAAAAACCACTGGAAGAAAACATCAACAGTTTTCACAGTGGTTATCTCAAGTTGGTATGTTAGATGGCTTCAATAGGAAAAAGGGAAGTATTTTCAGGTGCCTGCTAGATGTGGTTGGGCATCAGGAGCTGCTCTACCATCCAGCCATACTACTTTACTCCAAAAAGGAAACACTTTTTGTCCTAGGATGATTGCATCTTTTCCATAGTTGATCTGAAATAAATTAAGATTTTTGCTATTGTTGTACTGGGGATTGAATCCACAGCCTTATAAAGGTGAGTCAAGAGCTCTACCACTGAGCTACATCCCAGCTCTTAATTTTTTTTTGTATCAGAGATTGAACCCACAGGTGATTAACCCTAAATTGATTAGGACCTCACTAAGTTGCTGAGGCTGGCTTTGAACTTGAGATCCTCCTGCCTCAGCCTCCCTAGTCACTGGGATTACAAGTGAGCATCATTGTGCCTGGCTAATTTTTTCAATTTTAAGACAGGGTCTTACTAATTTGCCCAGGCTGTCCTTGAACTTTTGAACCTCCTGCCTCAGTCTTCAGAGTAGATAGGATTACAGACATACAAGAGTGTACCCAGTTTAAATTAAAATTTTACAAGTATTTTTCTTTTTTATTTATTTTTTATTTTAAAAAAATATTTATTTTTTAGTTTTTTAGAGGGACACAATATCTTTGTTTTATTTTTATGTGGTGCTAAGGATCATACCCAGTGCCTCATGCATGCCAGGTGAGCACGCTACCACTTGAGCCACATCCCGATCCCTATTTTTCTTTTTTTAGTACAAGAGATTGCAAGGGATTGAACCCAGGGCCTCTTGTATGTTAGGTAAGTGCTACAACTTTGAGCTACACTCCTATCCCCAAGTATTATTTTTTTTTTGAGAAGAGTTCTCCTTGTTACCCAGTTTAGTACTCCTGGGCTCAGGGGATCCTCCTGCTCTAGCACCCAAGTAACTGGGACTACAGATGTGTTGTCACTGAACCCAGCTCAGTTTTGCAAATCTTATTCATTTAATCTTCTGGTTTACCTTAGGGCCTCAAAAGAACATAGCTACTGAAGTCAGGGGTTGGGATATTCTGCATTGACAGGCAATATTTATTGAGTACTATGAACTTAAAATATGCAAGAGACTATTTACATGTACTATTTTACTTAATATCCTCAAAATCCTACAAGTAAGGAAACTAAAGCTAGAGAGTTTAAGTAGCCTGTCCAAGGTCACACAGCTGGGACATTATGAAGCCAGAATTCAAACTGAAGGCAGCGTTCCTTGAGAGCCTATCAATTATGCTACCATCCTGTACTGCCTTCAATTACATGGTGGACTTATTTTCTTCCTCATGCTTTTCTATACTTCCCCCTAGTACCCAGTATGTATTATTAAAGGGGGGATGGACATTTATTCGGAAATAAGCAGGGATACCAGGATAAGTCCCCTATAGTACTTCTTATAAGAGTCAGAGGTGGGCATTATGCTGCACACCTGTAATCTCAGAAACCAAGGAGGCTAAAGCAGGAAGATCATATGTTCAAGGCTAAGCTCAGCAACTTAGTGACACCAAACAAAAGAAAATTGTTTGGTACCAGGGATTGAATTAAGGGGTGCTTAACCACTGAGCCACATCCCCAGCCCTTTTAAATTTTATTTAGAGACAGGGTCTTGCTGTTGCTGAGGCTAGCTTTGAACTTGTGATCCTCCTGCCTCAGCCTCCCAGGCCACTGGGATTATAATTGTACACTACTGTGCCTGGCCAAAAAGTTACTTTTTTACAAAGAGAGTTGGACACATAGTCTATGGGCCATGATTTATTTGCCTTGCATAATATCCATCTTTATTGTCCATTTTCATCCATCAATATGGGGATAGTATAGCAGGCATCTTTTGATTTTACTGACAGATTTTTGTATATTTGACTAAGGTAAGTCAATCCTTACTTGCAGAACTCATTCCCCCCCACCCGTTCCGGGAGAAAAAGACCCTACAGTACAGGAAAAAGTTAAATAAAGGTAGAATCAAATCACCTTGAGTTCTTGGAGTTGATCTGGTTCATAAAGCTGGGTAGACACTGCCTGTGCAAGAAAGGTGTCTAGCTCATGGCGATGCAGGATTCTGCCACCAGGCCACTGAACCATGTAGCTAGAAAATAAAAGCATCATTATTAGGCCACAAGACCTCATGAATTTATCACATAACCACTTATTAAGTTGAAAGCTATTATGGACCAGATCCTAGGCTAGGTTTTGGCAATTACAAAAGAATAAAGTAGAAGAATCTCTGCATTTGATTACACATAGTCTGGGTGACAGAGGAGATAGGCTTGTACATCAGCAATGACAGGACAGTGTTTTAAGTATCAAGAATACACAGGGTTCTGAGAGCACAGAAGAGTCCCACAACTCTAAGAGTGGGGGAGGGTATTCTGAAAAAGTCAGCAGGAGCTGAGTTCCAAAGGGTCTGTAGAATTTAGTGAGACAAAAGAAAAGTTAAGGAAAGATGTTCTCGGTTGACTGGAGAATATGTGTAAAGGCATGGAAGCATCACTTGGCAAAATGTACCTGGTTCAGTACTGCTGTAGCTAAGAATGTTTAGAGTGATAGGAAGTAAAATTAGAAAGTAGGCCAGATCAAGTGTCTCCACTCATAAGTATGGAATTTAGACTATCATTTTGAATTATGGGAGACATTTAGGGATTGTCAGCAAGAGTGGTATTAACTGTTTTGGTGTTGATGGGCTTAGAGGGAAAGAGAGAAAAGGCATGGATACCAGTTGGGAGGTAACTGAATCAGTGGCCAGAGAGGGACTGAACAAAGGCACTAGATGATGAAGAGATGGAGTGAGCAAGGTGACAAATGCAAGAGCTATTAAGGAAATAAATCCATAAGACTTAGTGATGGATTTTTTTTTTAAAATTGCAGTACTAGGGTGAATCCCTGGGTTTTCCACATGATAGGCAAGTGCTCTACCACCGAGCTACATCCATAGCCCTTGGTCATGGGTTTTATGGGAAGGGAGTAAAAAGAAGGGGAGAGTCTAAGTCTCTTAAAATTCTAGCTTGGGCAGATGGCTAGATGATATGGAGTCATAGATTTCTAAGATAGATAATCCACTAATTAAATAAATATGTACTCACTGATGAGTATTTGAATTGAATGTCCATGAACTGAATATGCTTTACTGTTTTAGACACTAAGAATGCAGAAAGAGAGACAGAGACAGAGAGGAAAAAATACAAATATATCAGTACAAATTTGTTCTTAGCTCCCTGAAAGCTGACAACAATGATCATACATAATTACTGAAGCTGTATAAGACTTCAGAAGTTTGGCATTTCAAACAAGCAGTGTTTTCTTGAGTGGCACATGGGATAGGTTCCTGGGAAGTCTGGTAGTAACCATGAGACAGTATGGTACCCTGGAAAGAGTCAGGGTTCTATAGTCAGTCTGGCTTAGAATCTAGAAACTCTCTGAGCTAAATATTTTTCACCTAGAATGACTAAAATAGCATAGGCATTTCTACATCATTATTCTTTCTTCAAACGCAAAGTGTTATTTCTCTGAGTTCCAGGATGAGATGGCAGGACATGCCAAAAGAATCCTGTTGCTGCTGCTTCTTCTTTTTCTTTATATATATATATATATATATATATATATATATTTGTTATATATTTTTGGTGGACCATTTATTTTATTTATGTTTATGTGGTGCTGAGTATTGAACTCAGTGCCTCACACATGCTACAAGTGCTCTACCACTGAGCTCTAATCCTAGCCCACTCCTTTTGCTTCTTTAGGAACTAAATTCTAAATGAGTGGGCTCCCTAGGAAGGATCTCCGTGGGATCCAGAAAATTTCCCTTTATTCAGAAACTTTCTATTTTCACTACTCACACTTTATCCACATGGAAAATTTATTCCTTATTACCTATTTTATATTTTTGATGCTATATTATTTAGCATGCAATTTGTAGCTAATCTTTAATAAATATAAAATATTCTTGTTTATAATACTTTTTGCCTTGAGGACTATTCTATCTGATATTAATGTCATTCTTCAATTTAATTTTCACCTTTCTTTTATTTAAAAAATTTCCATCTTAGTTTGTTGGCAAGATGCAAAACACCAATAGAAGAAAATGAACATGAACACAATATACCTATATTTAAAGTCACAGAAGATCTTATTAATGGAATAAATGATGTTTAAGTGCTTGACTGATTTTGTACAAAGAATACATATTTTTCAAGTGCCCATGTGGGTTCCCATGAGTTCTAGGTCCTTGCTTATCTCTGTTTATTAAAACTTACTTACTATAAACTTGCTAGTATAGTACGTGGCATAGGGCAGATGTTGATAAATATTTACTGGAAGAGTGACTGAATGCAAAGCAAAACAAACAAAACCCCACAAAAGCAAATCCTCTGGAACTAGAGAATATTCTGCTAAGTGAAATAAGCCAATCCCAAAAAACCAAAAGGCCAAATGTTTCCTCTGATAAGCAGATGCTGACCCATAGGGTGTGTGTGGGGGAGGATGGTAGGGAAGAATAAAGAAACTTTGGATTGTGCAGAGGAGAGTGAAGGGAGAGGAGGGGGTGTGGGGATAGGAAAGATGGTAGAATCAGATGTTATTACCCAATATACATGTATGATTACACTATGGGTGTGACTCTGCACCACAGATAGCCAGAGGAATGAGAAGTTGTGCTCCATTTGTGTACAATGTGTCAAAATGCATTCTACTGTCATGTACAATTAATTAGAACAAATTTTTAAAAAATTAAGAAGAAAACAAATAGGAAAAACAAATCAAACCCTCCAAAGCAAAATTGTAACAGTATCATCTTAAATTATATGTAAGAAAAACTTACCTAAAGGAGTTAAGTGTGCGAAACAGGCAAGCTCATAGAAAGTTTAATATGACACAAAGAGTATGAGTTTACAGATTGTTCTGGGTACTCTAAGGAGAGAGTAGTGACTGACTAAATGTACCTGACAGAATCAGAGAAAGCTCCATAGAGGAAGAAACATTTAATTTCCTGGGGACTGCAGCTTTGGTTTGGTTTGGTCTATACTTTAATATTAATTTAAAATCTGAATTGTCTCTCTAACCTTAGTATAATGAAGGGCAGAGTAGGTGTTCAATAAATATTTGTCAAACAAATGTGTAAATGTCAGGATATTCAGAAGGAAATTCTAAGATCCATCTTTGAGCTGGAACTGCCATTCAACTAGTATTGAACGAATTAGGACACAAAGAATGTAAGGGCCAATAAATCAGAGGAGCATAGGGCTTAGAAATGGGACAGTAGAAAATAATAACAGATATAAAATGTACTATCTTCTGAATTATATAATGCTTCTGGGTATTTTCTCTGGCAAAACTGTAGCATTACTTATTTCCCAAGGAAATTCCTCAATCTCAAGGACAAGATGACATCCTTACTATTAGTAGTGGTTATATTATTAAACATACTTTTAAAGTACTACATTCTATTATAATATGCAGCAAATTATAAACTGCTCATATGAATAACATTTAGTTGATGCGTATGATATTCTACACATCTTGCTAAGGACTTTATGTTCATAGAATGTAATGGAAATGAATAAAAACTTGGATGCTAACATCTTTGGTTCTAAAGGAGGTTCTGATATACCTTTTTCATGTGACTTCCAACAACTGCTTTTAAACTCTAGGTGATTTAGTTTGCTCATCTCTATAATGGGAATAATACCATCTGCATCTCAAAGGTCTATAACAGAGAGGACAGTGATATAGGCATGCCTACTCAGTATGCTGAGGCACGAAGATTGCAAGTTCAAGGCCAGCCTCAGCAAAAGAGTGACACCTTTTTCTCAAAATAAAAAAATAAAAAGGCCTGGAGTATAGCTCAGTGGTAGACTGCCCCTTGGTTCAATCCCTAGTACAGGCCAGTTTGTCCCAATTTATACCCTATCCCCAAGCAGTGTGTCAGCAAGGATTGTTATTGTTAATATTTGATGACTTAATGGGTAAAATATTGATTGCTAATGGTGAGGTTGCATATGTTTTCCAAACTCTTACTTACTTCTGTGAGTAGTTCATGTCTATCATAAATGTATCAGTTAATTTACTTGTTCTATCTACACCTCCTTCTCAGATAATCTAAAGCCTTTTCTTTATAATAACGAGAGCTACTGGAACAAGGGTTGGACAGCTAATCCAAGTCAAACCAATCCATGGCTTGCCAATCAGTCTTGAGAATTTAAACTAAGAAAAGCAGAGACCAGTGAAGCAGACATGCAAAAAAATGGCTACAGAGGCCCAAGTGAGACTGGGCAGTCTCAGACTCTGACTTTCCAGGACAGTTCCAGTGTGTACCACTTTTCTTATTTTATGGATCATGTTCACAGGGTGGGCTTTTAGGAAATGATTGAATCACCAGGGCTGTAATTTCATCAGCGGATTAATTCACTTGAATGATTAAAATTTTGAATGGGTTTGTTGGAGATAACTGTCAGGAGGTAGGGAATGGCTGGAGGAAGTAGGTCCTGAGGACATGACTTTGGGTACTCTATCTGTCCCTGGTCCTTTCCTTTCTCTCTCTGCTTCCTGGCTGTCATGAGCTGAGCAGCTTTCCTCTACGATGCCCTTCCACCATGATATTCTGCCTCGTCACAGGCCCAGAGCAATGCAGCCAGCCAATAATGGACTGAATTCTCTGAAACTGTGATCCAAAATGAACTCTTCCTCCTCAAGGTTGTTCTTGTCAGGTATTTTTATTACAATAATAAAAGCTGACTAACATAAGAATATCATTTACCCCTTTGGAGTTCTGGTTTCTAAAAAGCCTTTTTTTTTTCTTCCTGTAGTTTTATTTCACTATAGATTCAAATTAAGATACATTTTTAGTAACTGCAATTTTCCTCTTCACAGGCAAAACCCCATAAGGTGTTCTTTGATTATGTGACCAAAGAACAAATCCTACTACAAAGATGGCACACAATCCAGACTTTCCCTTCTAGCTGGCCCTCAAAACCCACATTTACAATATTTTACACCAATTAATTCTATACCAATATTCTATAACAGTATGTAGATATTTGCAAAGTGATACCTTTTCCCAAAAATATATGAATGTGTATGTATATTCATGTG